CCCCGGTTCAAAAAAAAAAAAAAAAAAAAAAAAAAAGCTCCTCGCATCTCACAGATACACTGGATCTGTGGGGAATCTCAACGTGACACAGTACCGTCTGTGCAAACTTCGTGATCTTGCTTCCATTGGCTGCAGCCCACGCCCCCAACCCTCCCCCCTCTATGCGCTCTTGCCCTCCCCCCCTCTCCCCCCTTCAGTCCCTAAACCCCCCCGGCCTCCTGCCGAAGTATTGTTTTTTTTTTTTTTGTGCTTCCCCTCTCCTCTGTGAAAGTGCTGTAAGAAAAAATTCAGAGATTCCGGCGAAAGCTCCAATGGCATGTAAATTGCGAACGGAACAGCTTGAGGAGGAAGCTGACTGAACATTCATCGGCCACTTGTATGAAAGTTCATGGAAGTGTCCCGTTGAGTGCGCACGATGTGTACCGTTAGAGAGCATCCATACAAGTGAGGGCAATCATGGATTTTTTTTTATTTTTTTTTTTAAGTCATCATGGATTATTCGGAACTCATTTGGTTCTCAAAATAAAGGGGAAATTTGTCTGGCGCCCCTGTAATTTGCGTTATTTCGCTTCGCGCCCCTCTGACGGCCGATTTACCCTGTGGCGCCCCTCTGAGTAGGGTTCAAAATTTCCATAAGACCCTGGTGCTGTTTGGGCCTCGAATCTCTTTGTTACGCCCCTACCGGTCCCTAATTTGCGGGATGCCCCTACCAGATGGCTGTTACCAGTGGGAAAATTTTCGAGATGCGGTACCATTTGCTGCCAAGCCATTTGCTGCTACGTCATCTGCTGCCACGTCATCTGCTGCCAGTCCACTTGCTACCAAGCCATTTGCTGCTACGTCATCTGCTGCCAGGTCATCTGCTGCCAATCCATTTGCTACCAAGCCATTTGCTACCAAGCCATTTGCTACCAAGCCATTTGCTGCTACGTCATCATCTGCTGCCTCATCAGCTGCTGTCAGGGCATCTGCTGCCAAGAGGGGGTTCGCTGCCAATTCGTCCACAACTGCCACATCTTCTACTGCTTTCCCAGATGCAGGGGCGGCTCCCTCTTCCGACAAACCAAAGGATGTTAGTGGTGGACAGTCTGACTCAAAGACGAAGGCAAGGGCGACCTCCATGAATGCAAAGGCGGGAAAGAAGAAGTCTGGGACGAAAATCAGGGGGCGGGGGTTGGCTCTTGCGATTCCGTATCTCGTCTAATCCGAAGAAGATGATGAACGAGGAGACGGGTGTTGTGATGGTGCGGCGCGCCTATGGCTGGTTGGTGGACTGTACAAAGTTCCAGCCCTCTCTCTCTCTCTCTCTCTCTCTCTCTCTCTCTCTCTCTC